TACAAAAAATAGAGAGTGATCAATATTTTAGGAAAATCATATTCTAATGCTTTGACATTAATGGCTCTTAGTAATAACTGAGGAAGGTAAGGGAACCCTTATGCTCCCCATCAGACGTACCCCCTTTTCTCTCTACTTCTTTCCTTCTTTCCCGTCTCCTATTTCTCTTCCCAGCCTTTCTTATCTACGCTTTCTCTCCCTTATTTCCATTTACCTTTTTTTAAAGCGCCTTCTAGCATGCCTTATGCTAGCCTATCATTTGGTTGCTAAACATTAATTACCAGGCATTAGGCCAGGTGTGAGGAGCCAAAAAAATAAGACATGGTCCCCGTCCTTGAGGAACGTGTGGACTAAAGGGGAGTACAAGAAAGTAAATGGGTCACATATGGCTTTATGAAAACGCAATGATGCTGTGGCTGAGGGTGCTATGAGAACACGTTGGAGGGACCAGAGCATCATGGAAGGCTTCCTGGTGGAGATGGCACTGAGTTGAGATTTGGAGCACAGACAGGAGCCAGGTGATGACAGGGAAGGCAGGGAGAAGAGGCACTCCAGCCCAGAGGAGCAGTTTGCACAAAACCTAGGTCATAAGAGAATGGTAGAGTCATTCAGGAAACTGCAAGTCATTTGGAACAGTAGAGACAGACGGGTTCAAAGGATGAAGCTGGAGTTACTGGCAGGGCCAGCCACGAGGGTCATGTGGGGCTCGTAAGGACCTTATCTGTGACCCCCGATTGGATTTGTATTTCAGAAAGCCCGCTCCGGCTGCAGTGTAGATAATGTCTTGGAAGGGGGCAGGGTGATCAGTGAACAGGCCAGAGCAGCCCCCCAGGAAAGACGGTGGTGTGGACCAGGTCGGGTGATGGAATTGGAGTCAGGAGGTCAAGGAAGGGAAGTCACAGGACTTGGTGTCCCAGTGGTAGACTTAGCATCAGAGGCCACCCTCAAAGCCCAAGAGGTGTGTATCTCAGCCTTGGCTCACAAATAGAAAAAAGCAAATTCCAAGATAAGAATTTCCAAGATCAATTGAGCAGGTGGGAGTAGAATTTCAATGACCAAGTTTTAGTGGTCACTGGCTGTCTCGTTCTTTCCCACTAAAGAGAAGCTCGGAAAAGTGGGCTCAGAGGAGGTGCCTGAGATGGGCTTTCAAGGTTCATTTAATGCCAGGGCAATGTCCAGTTCTTACCGGCAGGCGGCAGCACCACAACTCAGAGAAAGCAAAGTGAGAAACCCTTTCTGACGACTAAAAATAACCGCAAACCCCAACCGAAATGAGAGCCGTTTTGGTGATTAATTTGTGCATTCCGAAGCAACTGATGTGGCCAATCTGCAATTAGCAAGTTTTGCTACAGTTGCAACAGCTTTTCATACCAGGGTGTGGCTTTTACTTCACAATTTGCCTCTTGCTCCAACTTTTTTCCTATTTAACATGAGCCATTTTTGTTAATATTTACTCATTGTAATCCACTAGTGTGGATTGTTTCTCTGTATAGAATGATCTTGGGCAGCGTTCTCTCACGTTTCTGAGTCTGCGTCTGCAGAAAAAAATTTTTGATCAAAAAGACAATGTAACAAATGTGGATTTTTTTTAAGTCATCCATAATCACTTCATTACAACACAATTATTTTTACTTTTAAATGTTCACTTCCAAGTCTGGCCCATAGGCATACATTTTTACATAGACATACTCAGAGTCTGTTTTATTAATTTTAAAAGGAAGTGTATCTTTTTTTTTTTCTCCTGTTCTGTTAGGGTATCTAGTCTCTTCTGAGATCTCACCCACTTCCTTAGCTTCAAAGATCACATTGCACAGAAAAGCAGCCACATCTTTATCTCTGGTCAACTTCTGGTATTTATTCATCCATCCATCCACCCATCCTTTAATTCACTCTATGCAGTGGGCTAGGGGCTGGGAATACAACTGCGAGAAGATTTGGTCCTCTTTGTCTGGGAGCTTGTAGAGGATTTGGTGGAGGATGAAGGGAGGAAGTGAACCAACCATTATGCTGCAATGAGATTGGAGGCACAGTGGGAATTTTGAGGAAGAAACCCTAAAACTGACTTGGGGGGCCTAAAGCAAGGGGACAAGACCAACCAAGCAGAGGAAACTGTATATGTAAAGATATGGACACTCAAAAGATCATGGTACCTTCTGGAAACCACAGTGGTTTAGTATTGGTGGTATGTGTTGGCCGGAGACTGAGAGAGTGCGGCTGGCAGGCAGTGGCCAGATCCATAAGGGTCTTGCACAGGTCTTAGGACAGTTTCCTGTGAATAAACAGCTTAGTTCCAATTGATTTTCCATTCTACAGCTAGAGCAATAAAATATTCTGAAGATGAAAAGCTGCCCACAGTCCACCCCTGCTTCAGTGTCCCATAGAATCAAGCCCCTAATGTTTTTCTTTTTAAGTTTATTTTTGTTAGTTTGCATGCTCACTTTTTAAAAAACACTTTCTAATAGATTTATTTAGTTTATTTTTATTTTATTTATTTTTTGAAGGGGGAGATAATTAGGTTTATTTATTTACTTACTAAAAATTTTTTGTTGTTTTTTTTGCAGGGGAGGAAGGTAATTAGGTTTATTTATGTATTTTTTAATTCTTTTTTTTTTAGTGGAGGTACTGGGGATTGAACCCAGGACCTCATGCATGCTAAGTGTGAGCTCTACTATTGAGCTATACCTTCCCCCTCAAGTCCCCAGTTTTTAGCAACACTGAAAGGCCCTGTAGGCACCTCTCTGAATGCTTCACCCACGTGCCACATTCTTCTTCATCCCAGCTGTAAATGGCTTCTTGGAGTTCTCTCTTACTGCCTGGACTTTGCACCCTTTTCTGGAACATTCTTTTCCTCTCAGGCTAACCAGGGTTTCAGTTTAAACCTCCCTCCTCAGTCTTCCTTGATCCTGGATTAGGTCAGGTTCCCTGCTTTATGCTCCCAAAGCTGCCAGTCCTAAGTGCATCCTGTTCTGAGATCTGTCTTCCCCTTTAGACTGCAAGCTCTGTGACAGCTTGTCCTGCCGTCTGCAGGACAGATTCTCAGCTAATGCTGTGGACAGAAAGAATGAATGCATTGAGCTTTTCAATGACCTATTGGAGATTTCCATCTTCGAGTCTCTACATTTCCCAAATTGGGGCATCATCACCATCTTCTTAACTGTCCTTTCCCTGTACACGTCCCCCACCCCCAACCTCCTGCCCAGTCAGCTCCTCCTCTGGCCTAGTAAATTTCTCTGCCGTTCTTCCCACTCAAAATAAAGAACTGAAACTCTTCCCTCACTTCCTCTTCTACTCTGCTCAGCAGCTAAGTCCTTCCCTTTCATTTCTATTTTTTTTACTGGCCACCATTCTAGAAAAAAGTATCATAGTGGGAAAAATATATACGGGTTTTAGGACAAGACAGATCTAGGTTCAAATCTCAGATCTACTATATTCGGATTTCCTTGGATGAGTTTCTAACCTCAATTTCCCAGTCTGTAAAATGGGGATATTATCCACTATAGCAACACTATGGCTTTAGTATGCATCAGGTGGTAAACAGATGGTCCTCTTGTTGTTTGCACCTTATATCAGACATCTGCTCAAAAACCTTCAGAGGTTGCACGTCACTTGTCAGTGAAGCCTAAGCCACACATTTTGGCCTTGCCTCTTATTACTTTTCCCCCTAAGTCCTAAACTCTGGCCAATCTGAAGTACTGGCTAATCCCATCACTCGTCCTTCCCTGCTTTCATGTTGCAGTTCAAACACCAAGTCCTCCCTGATTACCTGAGCACCAACTGGCTCCCTTCTCTGCAATCCTACATGTAGTTCAATGGCACTTAGGGCCAACGGTTTTGCCCTGAAGACTAGGCAACTCTCCTCTAGATGACAAACTGCTGAAAGCAGAGGTTCTGCCGGGTTCATCTATCACTCAGCCTAGCGCCTTGCATGCAGTTAAGGATCAATAAATACTTAGTGAAAAAACAATTCATTCTCCTTACTTCAGAGGGCTTGTTTTCACCATAGTATCAGATGTTTGGTTATTCTCATCTCTAGCTATTTTGTTGGCTTCCAGGAAGCACATTACCATTAGATGCTCCGTTCTCTCCTGTAACTGGAAAGAGCTTTTGGAACTGAAAAATAAGTTACTTCTCCAGGATTCATCTTCTGCCACTCCCCAGTAACTCACCTCGCCTCATACAGGAAGCGAACTACTTAGCATCGCACAGAACACGACTCTCACTCCTCCGTTCCTTTGCACGTGCGTGCCATTCCCTTTACCTAGAATGGCCTTACCCCGACTTCTCTGGCGAAATCCTACTCATCCTCCAAGACTCAGTTCAGACATCACCACATCACCATCTCTGAGAAGGTTTTTCTGATATGGGCAGAGTACCGACCCCCCCCCCCATGTTTTGGCCTCCTCAGCATTTTCCAAACAATTCTGACAGTACTTTTGGTATTATTTGTTTACTTTTCTTCTATTCCTCCAGACAGTGAATTCCTTGAGTGCCGGGATTTCTGCTCGTCGTTGTACTTCCTATACCTAGCACAGTGCTTATCACGTATTAGGCACTTGATTCAACCGATGAACGAATGAATATACGAACTCATCTAACTCTGCAGAGTTTGGACCGAATTCTCAAATATTTCGAGACCTGGTCCTCTATTTGAAGTGCTTCGTGCGGGAGGTAGATTTCCTGCTCCCCTTCCCTCCTCCCTTTCCCTCCTCCAAATTGCCTTGGTTTGATGGAAAGGGAAGGGAAGTGATTAGGAAGCGGTTAAAGAGTTAGTTACTCCTTCAGGGCCAAGCTGTAATTTACCCGCTCTGGCACCGAGAGGGTTACAGCGGCCCGGGGGTGGAGCCCTGCGGGTGCCACCTGCTGCGGGGCGGCCTGGCGCCTGCGCCCTGGCCTGTAGCAGGTCTACCTGCCGGGGCCCGGAGAGAAAGAGCGCTTGCGCTCTGGGCCTTTTCCGCCGGGGAAGTCTCGCGGGGGCGGGGCGGGGCGGAGCCGCGCGGGGAAGTTCTCGCGGGACCCGGACGAGGAGCGGAAGCGAGGCGGCTGTGCTGCTTCGGCTACCGGACGGCGGCGGCGGCGGCGGCGGCGAAGACTGGCGGTGACGGCGAAGGGAACAGGAGCTGCCCTCGAGGAGCAGCAGCGGGGTCGGCGGCCGCTCGCACCGCTGCGGAGGGGCTGGCCAGACGCTGAGCGGAGCAGCTGCGCCACGGTGAGTGGCTGGCGCCGGCGGCGGCGCTGCTCCTGTGCCCCTTCTTCTGGGCTCCACGGCGGGAGATGGCCTGGAGGGACCGGGCCCAGCGCACCGCGGGCTGCCGGGCCTGGGGGTCGGGGCCGCGAGGGGCGGGGAGCGGAATCCCTGGGCTCCGGGCTTCACGTTTCCCCTTTTGGGTGCTTCCTTCCTGGGGGCCATTCTCCCCCGAATCTTGGCTCCGGACGGAGCCCCGGACCCCCAGGCCAGAGGCACCTTGTTAAATTTCATGCCTTCTCTACGCGGGTTTGCGCAGAAGGGGCCCGGGAGAAGCCCGAGAGCACAGGGTACTCATTCTGTGAGTCAGTCTGACTTGGCCCGGGAGGCGGGGGATTCGCAGCGGGCTGCAAGTGTGGTGATTGATGCTCCTTCGACCTGCAAGGCCACCACGTCACCATCTCCTGGTGTTTGGGGGCCGAATTTTGGGAGGAAACCCACCAACCCTATAAATACTATGAGTTAGAACGTTCGCTGCTCGAGCCTGTCGAGATGCCTTTGCTTCTTCGTGGTTTGTTTGTTTGTTTATTTTTGAACTACTCTGAAAGATACTTGTCAAGAGAAATAAGCAGCAGTTGATTGGAATGCTCGGAGGAAAGGTTTCAGTGAGAGAGGAGAGGGAATCTCTGGTATTCCTCATTTGCGGTGCTCTCCGTGTATATATAAGCCGTATAAGCTTATTTAGGGAGTTACTCTGGGCTGGCTTCAGATGCAATAAAAGTATAATTTGCAGAGGAGCCGAAGTGCCCTCGTGGTCTATCTTTTGATTGATTCTCAGAAAAGAGTGGAAAGACACACGAGGGAAATGAGCATTAGTCTCTGGCTTTTCTAGTACCTCTTTCACTTTGCCCTCTCCAGTTGTTGCCTTCCTTTTTTCCCTACTTTTCTCCATTGCCCTACGGGCACTAAATGCTTACGCGTATAATGCAAGTCACTTGCCACCTCCCCCCCCTTCCCCCCATCTACTTCCCCTTCCTCCTTATTGTCCCCTCTGTGGCATAATTTTTCGAGGTTTCTGCTCTTCGGTACAATTTGTTTTCAACGTCATTTAAAGATTCCATTTCTCCTGGGAAGATGCCCTCTTTCCTGCTTTATCCTTTATTTTTAAGCGAGCACTGTGTTCCTTCAGTTAGCCAGAAGGGTTGCTAGAGAGCTATGGGAGACTTAAGTTCTTCCCCTGGGAACTGGGAGGCGCAAAGAATTGAAATCAGCCGTAAGTAATCAATACTGCCAGTAGGTGACAAGCGTAGCTTGCTTGTATTTTTGTGTTTTAGTTGTTTTCTTCACTTTTAGATCACGTTTTCGTGCCTGCTCACACTCTCCTTCCTGTGTCTCTTTTATGTTAGTAAGGAAGATTTGGTTGATTTGGGGGTTGTGTGACTTCTCTTTGGCTTTTAGTGGGGGTGATGAATGTTAAAAATGAAAACCAACCATAGAGCTATATTACAATAGAACTAAGAAAGCTTGAAACATTTAAGGGAAGAGAATTTTAGACCAGTGATGAATTAATTAAAGTTGCCTGTTGTGATAATACTAAATTTATTCTTTACCAGGCTTTTAAAAAATCAGGTGTCTTTTCCCACTTACGCTGTAATCAGCCTTCTTTGTTACTGCTGTTGGGTTTTGTTTTTTTTTTTTTGACAGGAAGAAATTATTTGTTCTGTTGCCTCTTCCTTTGTTCAAAATTTCCTGAATCCCAAAATTTAAAAACGGTTAATTCTTGTAATCAGCTTTCTTTGATACTGAAAGCAGGCATTTAAACACTTGAGGCAGTTTACTTCCTCAGCAAATGTATTCAGACTTGAGGGATTACTAGATTTTAAATACTACTAGTTGATGGTGCTTAGAGAATTTTTCTCAGTAATTCCTGTTCTCACGTTGCAGGTTATGCAGCAACAGTTTTAGTCATTACCTAGAACAGAAGAGTAATAGATTTTGGAGAAATGAAGTAATAAAGAATAGAGACCCACCAAGCTCTCCTGAGAGACATTAATGGTTACTTAATTCAGAAGACCTTTCCGGCACTACTGAACGGCCATTGAGAGCCTTTGGTTTTATTTGTCAAAGTTGGCCTTTTCCCAGTTGTGCTAAGTGAATATGCATTATTTTCATTTTATGCAAAGACACTGTAGCGCATTATCTAAGATGCAAAGTTTGAAATCCAATAAAGGCACCATTACTGTATAGCAGTGATTTAAAAAAAATTAGCATGCATAAGAATTACCTGTGAATCTTATTTCAAATTAGGTTCCAGGCCTAAGGCCACTACATTGCAGAACTCCAGAAGGGCACAGTGAATCAGTCCCTGAATGGGATGATTTGATGCAGCTAGTGCAAGGACCAAAACTGTTGTTACAGAATGCATCCGTAAATTAATGGGACTGGTGTGTTAAAGTGTGGCTTTAAATTACTCAGCTCAAAATTATACTTTCTGTATATATGGAGTAAATATTTAAAGGCCTATTAGAATAAGTGACTATAGATGTGATTAGTTTTTTATAAGTGTGAATATTTGAGCATTGTTAGGACTTGATGTGGAGCCATTTAAAGTTTATACTTAATAGGGCTGTTAATTTGCCAACCAGAGGGTTCTTCTGAGTCTGTATGTAGATGGAAGTTCCAGACTGACTGTGAGAACATGTGGACTGATATTTGAAAAGTCAACTGATGCTAGTTGACAGCTCTTAGCACTTGATGCCAGGGGCTGGGCTGAGGCCTTTTACAGGTGTTGTCTCTTTTAATTAGTCAAATGACCATGTAAGATATAGATGCTGTTATTTCCCCCATTCTCTAGCTGAGGGAATACTAAGGATTAGAGAACGTTAGTCATTTCTCCAGTGTCGCCCACTCAGCCAGTGGTAAAGTGACAGTTGAATCCAGGTCTAACTCCAGAGCATCAGTAAGATTTTTGTTTTTGTTTTTTTTCTAACTACAAATGCATGCTTATAGTGAAAACAATGGAAATACAATTCAGGTGTATGGTACAGAAAGTAAAAATATTCTGTGATCTCACTTCCAAAGGTAATCACCGTTAACATTTTGTTTTGGGTTTTGGGGGGGTTTGGGGGCACACATTGATGTATATTATTTTGCTTTGCAGAAATGAGATAAACTAATTTTTCTGCAGTTTTTTTTAAGCTTAATAATGTATCTTGGTACTTATATAGAAAGATACTTGTTAGTTATTATGTTCATAGATATTAATCAGGGACATATGTATTTTGCACACAGTTTTTGGTCAGTATTTTAATGAGATAAATCTGGAATTGCTTATCCAAGGGTATGTAGTTTAAAATTGTCAAAAGATACTACAAAATTACTCTCCAAAAAGACTGAATTAATTAATTCCCTGCTAGAGTGTAGGCTCTGTGATGGTTTTATTATTATAATCCAGTACCAACCATAAAGTCAGGCAAATAGTAACTGCTTAAAATGTTAATAAACATTGGTAGAATAAAGAGTCTGAGAATCTGTTTATCCAGAGTATTGCAGAGACTGGATATTACATATCTTAAAAATTTGCCACTTAGGTGAAAGAACTCTTATTGTTTTAATTTGCTGTTTTTAATAATTAAGATGAACATCTTATGTATTTTAAGTAGAGTCACATATTAACTTATTTTGAGTGACTTAGTGTCAGGCTCTGTTCAAAGCACTTCATGTATGTCTATTACCTATATTACCTAATTTAATACTCAGTGAGTCTTATAAAGTAGGTGATATTATCCCTATTTTACCAATGAGACAAACTGGGGCTTATTAAAAAAAAGGCTTCCCGAAATTATAGCTGGTAAGCATCAGGGTCATTGCTTGAACCCGGGGCCAGCCTGCCTTTGCAAACCATGCAGACTTAACACTAAGCTGTACTGCCCCAGTAAAGCGTCATGTATTTTATTTTCTGTCAATTTTGGGAAGAAGAGAGTTGAATAGAAGAAAGAAAATAAAATCCTACAGATACCTTTAGGAGACTGCAGTTTAGGATACAGTGCACATTGCTTTAAATGTGTAATTCAAGCTGCACTTGCCTAGTTAAAAATTCTCTGCTTGTGATGGGCTGCAGGGTGTATGCTGGTACCAGTTCAGTTCACACATACTCTCATTAGGCTTCAGTGTTATGTGTACTCTCAGCCTGTTTTCTTGGGAAACGAACAGCAACGTCTACTGTTAAGATCATTATACATGGTGTCCACGTTGACATTTCTTTCTTTTCTTTTTTTAAGTAATTAGTGTGGTGTATGTGATAGAATTTTTTTTTTCTGTCTTAATAATGAAACACACCCTTCTGAATTCCTTTAGCCTGTGTGCTTTTCTGTGGATAGCTTAATATGCTGACTTCTTCCAGTTTTCTCTGTGAGATGCTAATTTTTATTTGGCACAGCCACAGAAGTACTGATTAGCTGATTTTCATTTCTATCAAACTGTATCCCACAAAGCAGTAATTGCCTGATTTTCATGAGTGTTAGTCTGTTTAAAGTTTCTCTAGGAAACCTGTGGTAGGTAAGTTGAGTAACAGCAGGAAGACGTTGAAAACTCTTGGTTTTTATGCCATGGCTGTTCAGTCACACTACAGTCATCTGGAATCCTGAATGAGAAGTTTATGCCCTGTTACTACATAGTACCTTGACAGTGACAGTGCTTTGGGTTTCCATCTGATTTCCATTTTACAAAAATGAAACTCAGTTTTTTTGGATTTGCTCAGTTATTTTTCAGCTTCCCTTTTTTTTTTTTTTAAGTTTTTTTAGGGGGAGGGCAGGTAATTAAGCTTCTCATCTTTGGTATATATAGTTCCAACAGTCAGACCAGGAGACCAGTGAAAATAAATGGTCAGGTCAGGGTATGGAAGATATTGATAGGTGTGTGGCAGAGATTTTGGAGCATCTGTAAAAAAAAAATTTTTTTAAGTATACACATTGGAAAGTAAGCAAAAAAAGACAGTTATTAGTTATTAATGCTGGAAAAAAATTGAAGGATTGTGCTAGAAAGGAACATTGGTTCTCACACATTATTTACATCATCAGTGAACACTCTTTCATAATGTGATACTGCTGTTTAAACTGGAATATGGGTTGTTACTGTGATGGGGCAAAGGAAAACCAGCAGGGGTGGAACAGCCAGGTACTCATCTTTCAGGTGATAGGAAATGGCTGGAATAAGTTAAGAAACAGCATATGTAGAAGCATATTATTTAGAAATATTGTGAGTAAATACAAAGAGAAAGCTAAAAACAAAGTCAAGGGGGATGGCTTGTGGGTATTGGGGTAGGGAACTCCTTTTTCTTAAGCCTTTTGATACTCTGACTTTTAAAGTTGTATACATGGATTCATTTGATAAAAAAGCAACAGTGGTGAGTGTAAGTAAAGGGTATTTAAGGACTCACAGAAATAGATACCCTGAGACTAATCTTTGTTTTTGTTTTTTTGTTTTTTTTGTTTTGTTTTGTTTTGTTTTGTTTTGCTGGGACTCTGTCTTTGCTTTCCCCTCAGGGAGCCAGCACAACATAGGATATCCTAGATTTGGCCTGATAGAATAAACACTGGTTTGGCTTATTAGTTACCTGCAGGAGAATGTTTGGCTTTCAGAATTTGACTGAAGGACTTCTTATTACTAGATGATTTCTTTCCTCCTTTTAACATTCATTTCCCTCTGATCTTACTATTATATTCCCAGCTGGTTTACTCTGTAGTTCATTTGCAGCTATGCCCCAGTTGTTAACTTTAGAACAAAAGAATAATAACCTCAAATGAATTCTCTGCTAGGTGGTAATTATGGAAGAAGGGTGTCACTATAAATAATCTGTCCCCATTCTGCCACTGTCCGTGTTGTCTTCTGCTTTTATTTGGACTGTTTGAAACCAGTGACTGACCCAACAAGAACGGGACTTCGTTTTCCTTTGTTATGCAAAGGTATAGGTTGTATCCCTTTCTCTTGGCTGGAGATGCTGTACTTCCCCCTTTGCTTCTGCAGCCATTGTCTGTACTGCCTTGGTTCACCTTGTCTACTACCTAAGGGAGTATTACAGAATCTTTACCTGCAAAATGCAATTTGGATCAGTTTAGTACTCCCCTGGCTCCCAGAAAAGCAGCTGTTCTTAGGGTAACTGAGAGAGACTTCTGTTTGGCTTTCTGGCACCGTCTCCCAGACAAGGTGTCTGGCAGCTCAGATTCTGAAAAAGGGATTCCTTTCAGGTATAGATTAGGACTTCAGCTTTGCTCCTCAAGCTAGTTAGAAGTAATGTGGAGGCTACTCTGGAATGCTGAACCTTGGACATCTATTTTAAGGGCTGTTGTGGCCCCCAAAGCCCTCCTTTGCAAGGGAGCTTTATGCGAGAGCAGGTCTCCACTTGCAAAAGGCTCCGAGCTGAAGCGCCTCTCTGGTCCCCTGAGCTTGCAGATCACAGTTGTTAAGTGGAGAGGGAGAGCTACCTGTGCTGAGAGCAGCAAACTGAATGAAAAAGTAGTTCCTCGGTTCATTTTCTCCCCTTTCCCAGGAGCAGACCAAGGTTTAGTTTCTGAGAACAGGTAAAGCAGCCTAGGACCAAAGCCCACATTGCTGGCTTTTGACTGTGGTTAGGGACCCAACATTTTCAAGAACCAGAAAGCTTGGCAGGGAGAATGGAGGGAGAGAGGCCTATTTAACTGAGAAAAGTTGGGTGTCATCCCCAGGGTGAGGCCTTTCTTTTGGTGGACCACATTTCGTGCCCAGAGAAGAGAGTGTAAGGGGTGAGGGAGGAAAGGCGGAGACTGCTCGGGACTCCAGCCGGTTCCTGCGCACCGAGCACACCCAGCGGGAAGGAAGAGGAAGTGTGTTCTGGAATAGCTCGAGCAGCTGTCGCCATTGGCCGGCAGGCCTGTCAGTCGCCTGGGGGCTGAGGTTGGAAAGAGGAAGAAGGAGATCAGGGCTCTTGCCTGAAAGGGAGGGAGGAGGGCTGAGCCAGGCTGAGCCAGGCCGAGCCAGGGGGCGTGGGGGCTGGGACGACTGGCCGACTGGCAGGGCGGGGCTGCCTTCGATCCCAGCCACTTCTCTCAATCACTCCTCTTCTGATTCAGGGTGGCATTGTGTGTCCGGAGTGCAGGAGCGAGTCCGAGAAGAGAGGCGAGGCTGAGCCCAGAGCACTGGGTTGCTTCAGCCGGGAAGACTCCCTTCCCCCTGCTTCGGGCTGCTGAGCACTGAGCCCCGCTCAGAATGGAAGCCATCGCCAAATATGACTTCAAAGCTACCGCAGACGACGAGCTGAGCTTCAAAAGGGGGGACATCCTCAAGGTAAGCATTGATGCCCAGCAGATGCCGAGACGCCCTCTCCTTGTACTCACCTGCCTTCTTTTGCCCTGATAACACACAAAGAAGCTGTGTTCCTTCTTTTTTCATTGCCCACTTTTCACATTTACCATCGTGTGTGATTTGGCTAGCTGAGATAGATGCTGAGTAGAATATCAAATATGACTTCAGAGGCTTGGTGTGGTGTATGGTCTTTAACTGCCTTTGTGTGGGTGCCTTTGTGAACATTTCTCCTTGCTTGTTAATACTGGTAATTCAAGTAGAGGCAAAGCAATGGGATTAGAGTAAGGAAGTAGATGAGTAGATGGGTTTACCTTGTAGAGTTTTATTTAAAAATTAGAGGATTTTTTTTTTAAAAAAGGGCTAAACTTGAAGCATTTATGTAAAAGCACTCAACTAGCCTTCTTTTACATAGTCAAAAGATTTTTGCATTCTGGAATGTGATCCTAGAAGGTTAAAAATTAATTTCCCCTACTTTAGAGAGACGGTTAGAAGTATATGCCAAAACTCATTAAAGAACCTCTGTATTTTTATTCTTTGTGAAACAACTAATGGAGTTCTAAATGACAAGGTTCAGCTTGCTGTTGTACAAGTCAGATTTCGATTTTCTTAAATGGAACTTGAGGAGCAATTACCCTGTATTAAACTCTGATTGCACACACACACACACAAAAACCCTGCTGACGGTTTAAAAATAAGCTTCCGTATAGTTTGCAGCTCATTTTGAGCCCCGCTATTTACATGAGATTCGGCTTCCACCTGGCACATGTTAATTATGTGTTTACCCAATTGACTGGAGCACTTGCCCTTTTGGATATGTAATTTATTTTTTTTACAAGGCTGGGTGTTATCAAATAGTGTATCAACTCTAACTGAGGAAAACTTGAGGTTTAATGTTTGAGTCTTCACTGTGTCTCAGGTTTTGACGTTTTTTTCTCTCAGAACCTCAGTCTGATTGTTGGAATTTGCCATCCATTATTAGGATTTTTATAAAGACGAAAAAAATAGAAATAGAGAAATATGCTTCTTTATAAAAGGACTAGTGGTTTTTGTTTTTAAGCTTGGCAGACCTATAGATGGTTACTATTTTGCTCTCATTGCCTGAGGCTTGGAGTTCTGCTTTGAAGTTATCTGCACGGTAGTTTTCTTGATGTTAGAAATGTAGGTTGTACTTCATAGAAGGTGATAAAGAGCCCTTTAAGGAGAAGGAAACTGTGTGTGTTCTTTTCAAAGCTGTTTTTGTGATGCCAGGCTTTTTGAGGATATTCTCAAAGTCAGTGCTAAATTGTCAGAAAGCAGACAGAACCAGCTATAGGTTTTAGAATGAAATACATCTTCTGTTTCTATTTCTTTAGCTAGAAATCAAAGTAAACATAACTTAGTAAATTACTCTGTCATTGGTATACAGAGAAAGTGATTTGATGTTTTTTATGTGATTACTGCTTTCAGCAGATAACCTGCTCCTGATGTCATAAGATTGGCTACTTAAGAAAAAGGGGATTAGCTAGTCAAGTAGCCAGACTTGTCGCCTATAGAAAAATACTTTGGGGCCAACTTTTGTTTGTTTTTATCTAAATGTAAATTAGATTAAACAATTAAAGTTACTCTAGGAACTTGAAATTTGAGCCTGGTAGTTCATATTTTTTTCTCTAACTCTATTCAATTGCACATTTAACGCTAAAGCAACAAATTAAAACAAAACTGCAGTTTTGAGGTCTGTTCTTTTTTTTTTTTAAGAATTTTTAGACAAGAACTTTCTCTGTTTACTGTCACTGAAGTTTGTCTCAGGCCTGAACAGTTTATAAGTTCTCCAATTTAAGTTGGTAAACTTCTTGAACAAGTGTGACATCCTTCTTTCCCATCCTATAATTAGAGAAGATGATACTGTTTAACGTTCCCCTAGAAATTTTTATAATGGGAGAGAAAGTGAATCAGAGTCCCCACATTTACCTTCAGATTTTCTTCTGGGAGAGAGAAAAATACATATATTTGGTTCTTTCCAGTTTGGTAGATAAGTGGCATATGAAGTCATAGTGCCATTATTGCTTTTGAATGGTGGCTGTTAGCTGTTTGTTCGTAATCTTGTGGCTTTACTCCAAAAAAAGAGTGACGATACAGTGGTTGCCCTTTGTCTCATAATTCTGTGAAGCAGCTGAGTGAAGAGGAGGGACATTGCTTTGTCTTTATAGCTATTAGTTTTAAAAAAAAACAGTGTTTTCTTCTTTGATTATTCAAGGAGTAACTGGCTTCATTTGAGTGGCTCTAATTTGATTTGATAACTCTTTAGGGTGTTAGTTGTGAACCAGAACACGTTTAGAAGTGACTGGAAAGCATTGGACAGTTTCCCTTGATTGAAATAGAGATATATTTGCCCTGTGTTGATGAAGGGGACATGTGCACTTGGGTATTGAGTACATTTTATTGGAAAATGATGAAGTAGAAAGAGGCTTAGCCCTCTGCCCCAATTAGAGTTCCAAGGGATTACATTCTCTCACTGTCAGGGAGTTCCCGGTTAAACTTTTGGTGAATGTTGACCCCTGTGCTCCATCAGACCACTTCCTTACTTTCCATCTACACATTAACTTGTACTGCCCTGAGAAAAGAGCAAAATTAAAACATCTTACTGGAGGCCTTAAATAGAACTTAATGCTTCAGTATATCTGCCTTTGTTAATTTCCCTTTTATGAAAGCTTGTGTTTTTCTTGGGGAAGGGTGGGGAGGGCGCTGGAGCATAGAAATGGAAGAAATCACTCTTCTGTTGCAGATTTTAGGTCTTACGTGTCTGAAATGAACCTAAATTTCCCCACCGTTGATTAGGGCAACCTTGAAATAGTCCTGGGGGTTCTCCACTGAACAAGGCCCCTAAATACTCTGCCCTACAACACACAAAATGCCTGAGCTTACCTAAAAGTTGTACCTGCCATCTAGGGGCTTATGTACATGTACTTCAGACAGTGCTGCATAGGAATTAAGAGACTGTTTTGAGTTCTCACACCCGGCTCATTCCATTCTAGAGCAGACTTATTTTCTATCAAGGCAGACCCTCGACTCTAGAAGATTACCAACAGTAGACCATCTCAGGATCCTACTCTGTCCGGCACTAACTTCCTTTGTCTGTTTCTTAAACCTCTTGAGAACTAGATCTTGAGTTCAATACTGATGACCCTATTTCACCATCACATTTACAGAGCATCTCCTTGAGCCACGTCCTGGGACAAGTTGCTTTGAGAGTTGGGGAAGAAACAGAAGGTGTAGTTCCTCCCTTCAGGAACTCTAAAAATCTAGTAAGAGAAGTGAGATTGATAAGTAAAACAGTATGTGGGAGTATATAAAGTTAGAGGGTTTTTAGAACAGGAAAAGACCTTTTAAAATCTCTTAACTTAGACTTTCTTATTTTACCGGTGAGGAAATGGTGGCCGATAGAGTTTAATGATCTATCCAAGATTACCGCTATTAGTACTTAGTACTGAGCTGGTATTTAATGAATTGCTAAAGTTGTGTTGTTACATGCTGTAACTGCGGAGTAATTTAGGAAGGGAAGAGATGGGTAAGAGCTGAAGTCAGAAAAATGTGTGGGAGAGGTGCGACTTGAACTGGACCTTGTGCCAGGTAGGATAGGGCTAGGTGAAGAGAAGGGTGAGGCGGTGCTTGTTCTGTTTGACATAGGAATGCTGGAATAAGGTTGCAGACTGTTTCAGAGTGGAAAACAAGGTAGAATTGGAGCCAGATAAGAAAAACACAGTAAGAGTCTGATCTTGTCCTTAAGTGTCTGAAGGTTATTAGCCAATGACGAAAGTGTTCTCTGCGTGTGTAGTGGGTTGCAAGGAGGGAAGCCTGGAGTCCCAGCCTAGCGGGTCGCAGTAATCGGTGTAATTTAAGTGCCTGCCTAGGTGTTGGAGACTAGGAATGAAGGACTGGGGGTGCTTTGAGATACACTGAAAGGAAAAACAGTGGGATTTCTGCCTGTCAGTGGTTGGGGGACATTTAAATAATTCTCCTGTGTAACTGAGACGAGCATGTCAATTGAGTATGCTCCTGAGAGCCAGAATCTGATTGGTTATCGTTTTCACAGCAGCTGTAAGTCCTGAATTACAGTACATGTGTCTCATTTCAGGTGTTTGAACTGTCAAACCTGAAAAATAAGAGGTTAGGGTGGGTTTTTTCTTCACTATTTTAAAGCCCTAGTATCAGTGTACTTTTTGAAATACTTCTTTACCTGTTGATAAGAATTATTATCAATCTTGTTGACTAAACTGAGAGTATTGCATTTAATCTTTAAGTGTGAGGACAGTTTGATTGAGTTCTCTTATAGCAGATAGTTTATTTGCCTTTCATTATGTTCGTTTGCCTCCCCTGCCATCTGAATGGACTATTTCCAAATAGATGCTAAGAATGAACTTTCAGTTCTTATACAAGACTCTTTTGGGGGGCTGGATGAAGACCGGTCATCCCTGTTTGGAGAAAGAAATGTGTAAGAAAATGCGATGTTCCTTTGGGTCTTCAGGTTTCACCTCTGTGAGCTGTTATAATTAAGGCATCATTGAATGGCTATTATTTATGGAGCATTTAATATATGCCACGAAGTGATACGTGATTTCTGATTTTGGGCACTGAAAGGTTGACATTATTAGCCCCGTCTTAGGGGTGCGGAAGTCAAGCAATAGGCTCAGGTTCGCACATCTAGTAAGTGGCAAAGCTGGGGTTTGATCTTAGGTCTGGCTGCAGTGCTCCCCCTGCAATACATTAATGTCCCTGTTAACTGTCAGGGAGGAGGAAACCAGAAATGTAAGGTATCCGCAGTCCTGATTTGCTCACCTGCCAGGCATGGGCAGCTGTCTTGTGGCACTGCTTCTACGTAGTGACTTATTGGACATCCTATCTAAAGCAAGCTGAGGTTAATAATGAAAGAAATGAAGGGTGTAAAAAAAGGTCATTTTCCCTGTCAGATTAGCAAAGATGGTAAAGATTGACTCCACTCTGTTGGC